ATTTCTTCATGGCTTCCTAGCTCGAAACTTGGTGGGTTTGCAATTTGACTAATATAATAAATTCAGTTCACTATCATTTACACATACACAACCATACACATAATTGAAAAATAAAGAATGATTTGGGGACAATACATGCGATTTTGGATGAGGTTACAAACGAACTGAGTCAGCTGAACAATGGACCCCTTCTGCAACTTCTCCGATCGGACCAAATCGTTCCTCTGAGTCGCTAACATCCCCTGCTGAAGAAAAGACCCGTCCGATAACAAAATTCGATACCTTTCGTTGCTAGTGTTCTGGTGCTGAGTGTTCACGAGCCGAATATCGACCACTTGAAGTACTGGCTTCACATCTGAGCCCTGTGATTCACCGCTCGATATCATCGCTATTGCTCCTTCCGTCAAATTGATCGCCATTTTCTTTCTGAGAAAGTGAGGAAAATTGGAGCGAGCGAGAGAGAGAGAGAGAGGGGGGGGGGGGGGGTGGGAAAGAAGGGTTTTGAAAACCCTAGGGGAGGGAGAGCGCCAGGACTTGTTTGGTATGTTTTTTTGAGAGCGCCAACGGCTTGTTTGATATGTTTTTTAATAGGAATTTGAATTGGATTGTCCAAACTTAAGTTTGACTAAAGATAGGATACGAAGATAAATTTGAAGGGGTTAATGTTATTCATGCCCATATTTAATATGCATAAAATATATTACTATTATGATAATGTATTTATATATATTTAATTTTTTTACCCCTAAACTAATTTATATATATAAAGAATATAAGATACTTCGTGGTTGTCAAACATAAGTTTACAAGAGTTTACTCTTCGACCTATGTTCTCAAACCTCCAAACCCACGTTCCAAACAACTCCCAAAGTTTTAATTTTGGTATGTCTACGCGGGTTTTGGAGGGCATGGGCATTTGTGAAATGACGCATGTGACCCTGTATTTGCCATTGAGGCTTCTTAACTGTGTGCATAGGTTGGGCTTCCGGCCCAAAAAATAATACACTCGACGAGCATGCCAGCCCGTGACAACACTCATGGGCTATGGGCTAGACTGTGTCATATCCACCGTGTGGGCTTTGGCCCACTAATACCAACTCTTGCCCAAAAATTTGGATAGGCTTCAACTAGTCCAGCTCATTTCCGCTCAATCTTAAGATCGTGCAAGTTACGAGTCTTACGGCTGTCAACGAGTCAAAGTAGTGAAAATTAGAAGCGAGTCAAATGCACTTGTTTAGAAATTGTTATCCTTTAATTCAATATCAATTAAAATATATTAATAAAATCTTTATCATAAATTTAAAATTAAAATTTAGGATTAATCTCATTTTATATTCCGAAAGATCGTTAGAATCTTAATTTATACCCCCCAAGATCAAAAATTTCAATTGACACCCTCAAAGATAGAAATTTATATCAATGTGAACCCTCAAAGATAAAAAAATCTCAATTTACACCCTCAAAGATAAAAATCTATATCAATATGCACCTAAAATTAAATTGATAAATTATACCTAGATCCCATCATGTTTGTCACTTAATCATTTGAATCCTTTCACATTTAGAATATTACCCTACATCTCATGACGTTTATACATGTGTAACACATAATCACTTTTCGTTGATATCTGTTAATATAATCGTTGAAAAATATGATTTTATCCTAATAAAAAATTATAATTTCATATTATCCTTTATTTTGTGGATTCGATATACTCTAAAGTTCAAAATTAAACTTACCATTTGAATGTCTAATAGAACGTAGATATTTATATAAAGGAAAATATGAAAAATATTATATAAATATCTACATTTTACTAGACATTCAAATAATAAGCTTGATTTTGAACTTTAGAGTATATTGGACTCATAAAATAAGGATAATATGAAATTATCATTTTTTATTAGGATAAAATTATATTTTTTAACGATTATATTAACAGATATCAATGAAAATGAGTTACATGTGTACGTGCACAAATGTCATGAGATGTAGGAGTAATATTCTAAATGTAAAGAAGTCCAAATGATTAAGTGACAAGCATGAGGGGATCTAGATATAATTTATCAATTTAGTTTTAGGTGCATAATGATACAAATTTCTATCTTTGAGAGTGTAAATTGAGATTTTTTATCTTTGGGGTGCACATTGATATAAATTTCTATTTTTGAGGGTACAAATTAAGATTTTTGATTTTTGGAGGTGCACATTTATACAAATTTCTATCTTTGAGGGTGTAAATTGAGATTTTTACTCTTTGAGGGTACAAATTAAGATTTGAACGATCTTTCAGGGTGTAAAATAAGATTAACCCTAAAATTTAAAGCTCTCTCTCTCCATTATAAATTTAAAATTCAAATTTAAAACTCTATCTCAACCCCGAGCTCACTTGATCACATCAATGGAGGAAAGGGTATGCAAGAGATTCGAAGCAGAGATGCATCATTCCAATATTATGCTAAGAAGAGACCTTCACAAAATGACGTGGGTGAGCTTCAAGCATTGACTTTTTAGCATGATGAGGGACTGACTTAGGGCACTAACCATATTTATTGTTAGGTTATGATGTTACAATGATGATCTACCCATTGAACCATACATATACAGAGACTGTAGCAGAAATTGTTAGACTAGACATTTTTCCTTTCTATCAAAAAATAGTTTCAACATTAATGTAGCTAGACAGGGTGCTCTCTCTCTCTCCGGCCAGCTAGTGAAGTTGTTTCATCAATATTTATCTTTTAATTTTTTATGAATTATGTCAATTTTGTGGGTAACGGATGAGAATGTTTGATCATTATTAATTTTTTGTTTTTTGTAATTTCTGGTATTTTTCGTGGGGGTTAATTTGTTAAATTGAATATTTCATATTACTATTATTTTTATTATGTTACTATTTTTGTTAAGTATGTTACTATTATTTTGAACATGTTAATGTTTTTGTTGAACATTTTACTACTATTATTTTCCTAAATATTAATATTCAATGTTACTATTTTTTTTTGTTTTTGAATATTACTATGTTTTGTGTTTGAATGGTACTATTTTTTGCGTTTGAATTTGAAAAAAATAATTATTGTTAAGTATGTTACAGGTTTTGGTAAGCATGTTACTATTTTTGTTGAACATGTTAATATTATTATTTTTTAAAAATATTAATATTGAATGTTTCAATTTTTTTTATGTTTAAATGTTACTATTTTTTTGTTTTTAAATATATTATTTTTTGTGTTAAAAATGATAATTTATTTTTTGTATTTGAATGTTACTATTTTTTATTTTTAATGTTAGTCAAACTCTTAACCTATATATGAATATCTATATAATAAAATAGCTAGAAATGTTTGTCTTGAGCTTTTCGCGGTTCAGATTACTTGACGATTATTGATCCGACGGTTCTCATCATAGATTTTTCTAACACTCCTATCTCTCATTTAACTCTCTCCCCTTATCTCATACTAACTAATACAAAAGACTCTTATATCTCATCTAATTCTATCTCCCTATTACATTCTATAATTGTCTCTGTTACTCCCTACCTCATTCATTTTTAAAAATATTCTATCTGCCTCTACTGAGACTCCTCATCTAACTCTCTCCCATTTTTAAAAACAAATAACCTACCTATCCCATATCTCAATTGTTATCTCACGACACCCTTCCCTCTCCCCCCTTCCTATCTTTTTTTACCTTGCCCTTGCCTTTGCCCTTGCAACACACACCACACCACACCACAGTAACACCCACTGCAACACATACCACACCGAAGTAACACCCACTGCAACTCAACGCCATGAGTCCAGGTATTCTGGGTCTTTTTCTTCATTAGCTTCTTAGTGGATATTTTCCAATGGTTTCTATTTAACAAATTTGAATTTTTGTCAAGTTTTGTAGTATTTTTTCTTTTGTTGTTTTTTTGTAGTCAAATATTCGTTATAGGTTGTTTGAAGACTAATGAAGTCAGTCTTCCTTTTGTATTGTTGGGCAATTGTTGGTTGTATGGACAATTGCTTTATATTTTTTAAGGAATTTTCTTTTAGTAGATATATGTTTATGATTTCTTGGTTTGGTGAACGTGGGATGTTACTGAGGTGTAGTAATGCCCATATTTAGAGATAGGATTTCATATATTTTTTGTTCTAAACTTGATTATTTAGATATGTTGAATACATAGTTTTTGGTTTTGCCATTGATGTGCTCTATAAGTTTGTTTTTCAAGCTCTTTTACAACATTGGATTGTTTGAGTAAATCTGTTTTATTCTTGCATTAGGTAAAAATTCGAGTTTATGAAATTTTTTTGTATCTTATGGTTTCTATTTTGTCCCTTACCTGATAATTGGTAGAATATTACTTAAATCAAAGAGAGATCATATTTTTTTGATTAACAATTTTTTTGAGTAACATAGTGCCTTTAGGCACGGACATTAACTAGTAGATTGATATGAAAGAGTAAAGATTTGAATGTTAGTCAAACTCCTAAGATTTAGAAATTTTTAATTTTTAGTTTTATTTCACTTTTAAAGAGAAGGAATAGTATGATAAAATTGACAAAAAATGGACTTTATAACAAATAAGTTTTCTTGGCGGACTTAAGTCCAAATAAGTCTGTATGGGGGGACCAGCCTCCGAATTTCCCATCAAAGTAATATTGAATTGGTATGTTGCCAAAGTGGTAGTTCCAGTGGTATGTTGTCATATTATGCAGTTACTGAAGCAGTCTAGAGTGCCTTCTAGAACGGCTGACAATTAGTAAAGATGATTAGTGCAACACGAAGTGCCATAAAAAGGACAGTGCCCAAGAAGCAAAGGTTTCCATGTCTTAATATTAGGTTTCTTAGGGAAATCAATTAATATGGAAGAAAATCTTAGGAATTAGCGAAAATGCCGCTGAAGACGACCGACTCTAAGCAGGATGGTGTTGATGCCGTAGGCATTTTTTTTTTTTCCAATAGCTGGAGATTGATAAGTAACAAAGTCGAAGGTCAAAAGTTTGCGTTTCAATAACTTCCTCATGGTTACTAAACCGAGTTTAATGAAGAATCTAACTCTCCACATCACCCTCTTTAACAAAATTGTTGACCAAAATATACCATGTTACATCATTAGGTATGAAACCATTGGCTACGCCTCGATTTACAAGTACATATGCATCATCAAACATGCATGCTTTACAATGTGAACAGATCAAAGTGTTGTAAGTGATAGCATCGGGAGAAATGCCTTCAAGTTGTAGTTTGCCGAAGAGGTTAAGAGCTTCTCGAAGATGCCCCAGCTTGCAGAGCCCGTTTATAAGGCTGTTATAGGTGACTATGTCAGGTGTCAATCCTCGATGAATCATGTCCCTTAAAAACTCCAGTGCATTTTGTATCTTCCCAGTTCTACATAATCCATTGATCAAAATATTGCATGATACGACATTGGGAGAAAGTCCCTTTCTCATCATTTCTTCAAAGAGTCCCATTGCTTTCTCAACAGCCCCGTCTTTGCAGAGTGCCTTTATTAGGCCATTGTAAGTAATGCCATCAAGGTTACATCCTCTAAATACCATATCATCTACAAGCTTGAATGCCTCTTGGTTTTCACCTTTCCTGAGAAAAGCATGAATCAATGTGTTGTAAGTTACAGTGTTTGCAATGACACCCTCCAATAACATATCCCGAAACATTCCCAACGCCTCTTCCATCTGATCAACTTTGCATAGTCCAAAAATCAATGAATTAAAAGTGAATATGTCAGGCTTACAACCTTTGCTCGACATTTCACCAAATAATTCTAAGGCTTCATCAACCTTCCCATCCTTACATAGAGCACATATAAGGCAATTGTATCCCACTGTGTTTAGACCATGTCCCTCAGTTGACATTTCATTGACAACCTCACTGGCTTCCTCTAGTCGCCCTGCTTTGCAGAACCCATCAATCAAAATCGTGTAAGTGATCACATTGGGGTTGCAACCCTTGAATGCCATCTCTATCACAACTTCACGAGCTGAAGCCATACACCCCTTCTTGCAAAGACCACGAATTAGTATGTTATATGTATAAACATCTGGGTCACAGCCAATCTTTGACATGCTCTCGTTTAGTACAGCTTTGGCTTCATCAAGCCGTCCATTTGTCACATAACCATTAATCAGAGTACTAAACAAGACAATATTTGGATCAGGAACTTTGTTTAGCAGAGCCCTTGCTCCATCGACTTGCCCCGTTCGACACAACCCATGCATCAGAACTCCATAGGTTATGGAATCAGGGGTGAAACCCCTAAGAAGCATCCGATCAACCAATTTTGCAGCCTCATGAATCCGATTGGCTCGGCAAAGACCATGGATGACATCGTTGAAAGAATTGACATCTGGTGTGCAGCCCATCAGAAACATTTCCTCCAAAAGTTTCAGAGCTTCGTTCACCCTATTAACCTTAGAGAGGGCATGTATTAGCGTCTGGTAAACTATTGAATTTGGCACACACCCATGTTTAGTCATGTCTCCGAGTAGTGAGCATGCAGAATCCACCTCATTCACCATACAAAGTGCTTTCATTACGATGGCAAATGTAAAAACTGTAGGTGAGATACCCTTATTCAACATCTCATAGAACACGTTTGGGGCAATTTTAGGACAATGTCCGGCCACCAATATCTCCAATACAACATTGTAAGACTTAAATGTCGGTTCACAAGAAAAAATACTCCTCATGTCCAAAAGCAACCTAGTCGCTTGCCCTGGCAAATCAGCTCTCCCATAATACTTCATGATCATAATAAAAAGGGACTCTCTAAAAACTATCCCTTCTTCTTTCATCTGCAATACCAATCTATCTATAATCTTAAACTCCCCTGCGGCCCCAAGTTTATCAATCAAAGTATAATACACATTAAATGAATGGCAATATCCCTTCTGCTTACCCGCCCACTGGAATACCTCCATGGATGTTGGCACATCGAGAGGGAGCTCAAGCAATTTATTGAGCTGATATGGGGTAATCTTATTGAGTGATTTTCGAAGCTGTTCAAGGTCAAAAGGTTTAAGTAATTTTTCCCATTCAGTTTCAGATTCAGACTCAGTGTCAAACCTATTTCCCTTGGACTCGGAAGAGAAATATGTAAATCTAGAGACTTTGTACAAAGACTTGGAATTTGCACACAAATAGGTTGGAAGTTTTGATCTTTTTAACATAATAACTCTGAATGGGCCACTAACAAATTTCAGAAACTAACCTAATGAGGAGACTTCTGGTGAGTTGGTAGAGAAAAATGGCCATGACCCGTTTCAAATTGAATTGGGGGTTTCATTCAGCAAGTTGAGACATACTTAGGTAGATATGTGTATCAAGTACGAAGAAACTCAATCTCTGAAACTATGTGGATACAGGAACTTAGACTCGGAGAGAGAGAGAAAGAGGACATGGATGGATGGAAGATAGCACATTCTATGATAATTCTCACCACAATGCCCATTTCTGACGTTGCATCAGCCACTAACCTGCACAACAGACATTTGGCCAGTGAAAAAAAAATAAAGATAATAAGCAATAGGTTTGAAAGCACTAAAACTTGCACATATGAGATTAGAGACAATTGACGACCTCACAGATTCAATCATCAACAGAACCCTAGATTAATGATGATGATAAACAATCCATAACAAATCAGCAAATGGGAATCAATTTTAGAGACAGAGCGAAAGATGAAAAATCATTCTCTGATTTTTTTCTCTTTACTTTTTTTGGGAACATGTTCTTCCACTGTACTGTACTTTCACCCACTTTTGACGGTTACCAAAGAAACCACAAAGTATGTCCTATCCTTGCCAATGAATAAAGAATCACTAAAACATGAAAATTTGAAACTATTAGGTATTTCGACTGCAATCAAGGCTCTCTTTGGATGGATTACAAATTTCATTAGTAGATAAAGGGTCTTGTTACAGCTCATAGCAGAGAGGCCATTCAACCTATATCTTCCTTTGATGCAATAATTTTTTTTTAGATTGTGAAAGAAGTTAAAATTAGGAATGTAGGGAAAAAATCAGGACAAAAATCAAATACCTAAAAATCTCAAACCCTAAATAGAAAACCCAGAATCAAACATGTAACTTCAGAACCGTCGCTGAAGAGCAGGTCGCCGTCAACCATCGCTAAGGGTTGGTCCTGTTTGGGCTGGGTTGGGATTATCGGCAGGGGTGGGTGGGGAAGACAGTGTTTGGGTGGATGGGAGAAAAGCAGAGAGAAGAATGGGGAGAAAGACAAACATACTTGGAATCGATGGCGATTTGGTAGCTCTCGGTAGCGTTGTGCGGCTGTCGGTGAAGAGAAAGGTGAGGGAGTGAAGGAGAGTTCCGGAGAGTGGGAAGGATGAGATAAAAGAGAGAAGGAGCAGAAGCTGAGAAGGAGACGGGCGGGTGACTGGAGAAGGAGAGGGTGGTTTAATGGTGGTCCTTATTCCTTACTCATTAAAAGTTTGAGCTTTAATATTATCTACTTTAACTAATATTTTTTAAAATTCATTCCAACTACCTCGTCTATTCTAACTAATTTTTAATAATAAAATTAAAAAAATAACAATTTAATTATACATTGTATAAATTTAATCAATTATGAATTATAAGAATAAATATTATAAAAGATCGGCTACAAGAATAAATATTTAGATGCTAGATTTTTTGGGGGGTTTTATTGATTTTTTGAAAGAAATTTTATTGAATTTTTTAAAAGTTTTGCTGATTTTTTAGGGAGTTTTACTAAATTTTTGAAAAAATTTTATTGAATTTTTTTACTAACTCAGATCTTGATCTTCTGGTGATCAAGAATTTGAGCAAAAGTTAGAAAAATCCATTTCAAGAATCACAAGTAGTTTAAGTTAGAAAAACTCATTTCCAAAATCAAAAACTTTCAAAAACTCATTTCCAAAATTAAAAACCCATATTGAAAAACCTCACAGAACTGATGGATGATGGTGACAAATTCCTCAATTGAACGCGCTTCAGATGGTGAGATCGAGAGAGATAAAGAGAGCGAACATGCCACAAAACCTACCTCCTGAAAACCCCAAATCTCATTTTTTGATAATTTTGATCGATTTTTTGTGATCAAAATCAATGGAGTTTATGTGAGAGAGAGAGAGAGAGAGAGAGAGCATACCAGACTTGTGATCCAAGCTGTGATAAAGATGATTTGTGATGAATACCCAAATACCCGAATCTGTGATGAAGATCAACCACGCTCTTTGTGATGAAGATGATGCTGATGAATACACAAATAGCTTTTTCCTCTTGCTAGATCCAACGAGTCAAAAATGGATAACACCAAGTTTGATAGCTAGTCGGTTGGAGCCAAAATTTATGGAATGACTATCTAAAATAGCTAACAAGCCAAGTATAGCTATCCCATTGGAGTTGCTCTTAGAGTTCTCATTAGATTTAGTAGTTGGCTATGGTACTTAGTCTAGTTAAATTTGGTCCCGAGAGGTATTTTAGGCGTTGTCAAGGGTCTTGTGATCTCATCGATGAGGGCCTAACAGGGTAGTTGCTGGGCACTCTTCCTTGCCCCATCCCTTTTTTTTTATCAGTAGTCACTGATTTAGGAGTGCTGTAACATACTATCACCAATTAATAATAAAAATCTAAGCAGACAATCTGAACCCAACTTGGACTTACATAGAGAAAGAGTTGAGAGTTATTTACTTACGTAATAGATTGATTATTAATTTTTGTGGGATTTATTTGCTTATTTATTTTAATACTATTGATTAATGATACCACATTAAATTGCTATGTATTATTGTTATAATGAATATTTTCTTGTGGTTTAGAGCATCTCTAACTCGACTCTCTAACATGGCTAGGCAAAATTTATTTAAATATTGCATTCTCTATTTTAACTAACCATTTTTACAAATTTGTTCCAACCATGCTCTCTATTTTAGCTAACTATTTCAAATAACTTTAACTAACTTTCAATAATATAATTTGAAAATACCACGTAGCCTAACACGTCAATATCATGTAACCAAAATCTACTTCAAATAACAAAAACTAATTGATCATAGCAATTCAACCATAAATTGTGTAAATTTAACCACAAATCAATAATAAATTAACCCCCGATTTAACCAAAAATCAATACCAATTTAGCCACCTATTTAACCAAAAATTAATACCAATCAATAGCAAAATCAATGAAAATGGGGGGTTTCGAAATTGGGGGGGGAGGTAGGGGTGGGTTTTGGCATGGAAAGGGGAAAGGGTTTCGGAATGGGGGAAGGGAAAGAGGGTTCGGCATTTAGGGGGGGAGGTGGGTGTGGGTTTCTTCATGGGGAAGGGGGAGGGGGAAGGGGTTTCGGCAATGGGGGCTGGGGGGAGATAGGGGTGGTTTTGGCATGGGGGAAGGGGAGGTGGGTTTTGAAATCGGGGGAGGATCTGCAGCTTGGGGTGGTGGGGGGGGGGGGAGATGTTCGATATCAAAACAGAGGGGTGAGGGTGTGGAGGGGGCGATGATATATGGCAGTTCAGCTGTAAAAGATCGGCGACAAGAAAATGGCGAGCATGAAGGCCTCTCTAGATCTGGCGAGCATGAAGGCTTCCTAAGTTTAGGCGAGGAGGATAACTAGTGGTTTGGAGATGATTTTTGGAGCCAACCTTGCCAAAATAGCTAAAAATTGGATTGGGTTGGAGATGCTCTTAGAAAGAAAAGGAAAGACATGAGGGGAGGAGTCTTGGTGTAAGTGAACTATGGTTGAGAGAGAGAGAGAAGATATCTGAGATACCCTATGGCTCTGTTTGGTTAGAAAAAATTGATGAAGGAAAGTGAAAACAGTAGAAAGTAAAGTGAAAGAAATGAATGAAAAAAGAAAATTTATTTTCATGTATGCATTTGATTAGAATGAAAAATTTCCTAGAAAAATTGGTGCAAGTACTGAATTATTCTTATCATATCAATCTAATACACATACATAGGTGTAAGTTAGACAAATTTTAACACAATATTACTTAAACATAACACAAATAATACCCATTTACAACTCTAGTTCAATCGATTAAAAAAAAAGCAACATTTGCAATCAAAATATCTATTCTTTTTAGCAAAATATCTAAGTTTTTCTCACTTCTCTTGTTGAAATGGGTAACATGTTAAGTGTGCAAAATAGGAAGCAAGATCAGTTTTCCATGTAAAAAATTTCCCCGCATAATTTGAGAGAAAATGAAAGTGGTTGTTTGCAAGAAAATTTGGGTGTTGCGGGGGAAAAAAACTTTCTCGAGAAATTATATTTTCAAGTTAATCAAATGCATGAAAAATTACTTTTCTTTTCCTTTTCCTGCATTTTCTGCATTTACTGCAATATTTTAAAATTGGGATGTCTAAGTGTTACACATTTATAAATTTTAGGGAGTTTGGATGCAATTTTTTAATGAATATATTGTCGGACATGGGCGGCAAGGTCTAAGTGTTACATATGTATAAACTTTAAGGGGTTTATGTATAATATTTTACATATCAATGACCTAAATGATTCAATGACAAACCTCAAGAGATTTAAGTGTCACAAAGCGTTATAATGTTTTTTCCTATTAGATGTCGTTTGTTTGTTGTATTATTGGGTGTATTAAAGAGTCATATTAGATTAAAATTCCTATTAGGGAGTGAGGATGCTCAAGGCATGGGCGCTTGGTTGGTGGTTGAGTATGAGAAAAGCATTAAGAAGTGGTAAAACTTTAAACGGTCATAACTTTGTGCTCGGTTGTTCGTTTGAAATTATCTTTGTTTTGAATTTAGGTATTTCTTCGAGATCTACCAAAATCAAATTACCGATGACAATTTGGGCACCTAATTTTCTAAAAAACACATGTTTTCTACTAAATTTGAATTTTAACCACAAATTAGTGAAAAAGTAGAATTTTCATGTGTCATGTTCCATTCGTGGGAAATGACAACCTTCATTCTGAATGGATGAAATCATAGTTTTTAAGGTACTTTGATGAGGGAGAGGTAGACACATTTGTGAGGGCCAACCAACATGAGTAGATATTGATGACTCTAATAAGGGAGAAGTAGATACAACGGGCTATAGATGAGGAGTTGAGGGTGGCTCGCGAGAGAGCTTCATCTTTAGAGGCCGAGCATATGACAACTTGCGAGAGAGTCGCTAAACTGGAAGCTGAGACTGAGGTTGCTTGCGTGAGAGTAGAGGCATAGTAGGCCAAGCTTTTGGTGACTCACGAGAGAGCCGTTAGGCTAGAAGCTAAGACTAAGGCTACTTGCGTGAGAGCAGAGTTAAAGTAGGCTAAGCTTTTGGCAACTCGAGGGAGAGTTGCTAAGCTAGAGACTGAAGCTGTTTGCATGAGAGTAGAGATAAAGTTAGGCCGTGCTTTTGGTGACTAGAGCTTCTTACTTCCAAGAGATGGAGTGGAGGAAGGACATGCTAAGACGGGCAAAGTAGAAACTAGGGGCGAGGACGCCTGAGGCGAGGAGATGGACACCTAGGACGAGGCGTGGTTTTTTCGGGGACATTGATGTCGTTAGGACAAAGGGCATCGTAGGAGGCGTATGAACACCGGGAGCAAATGGCATCTGCATGAGGTATGCAAGTACCGAGAGCAGTGGGCGTGGAGGCCCGCGTTCGCGGCGGTGAGGGTGCATGGGGGTGGTCTTGGTTTGGATGGAGAATTCGGTAATAATGAAGGATCTATAATTTTCAAAACTTTGTGGCAATAAAATACAATTTTCTTATTGGAATATTTTTTGACAAAGTGGAGAAAAATGTGGAGAATAATGGGCGGCCACTTGGAAGATTTGTTTAATAATGTGGAGAATTATATTAAAAAGTCAAGCAAGTGGAAAACATGATAGCTAGGGCGCCTGTGCAGGGGGAATAGAGGGTAATGACAAAAACCATGTTACTTAGCATCCACAGCGACCCAAACAGTAGCTGTTGACCATCAATACTGATACTGAAATTGATAGAATTGTCTCTACTTTTCGTATTCCCTTCCACGTGAGGATTCAATTCACCTAACTTTGGCGATATTCTCAGCATTCGTGTATTTTTGGACTTTTGATAGTAATTCTAGCATGTTCTTTGGCGGGTGCTTCAAAATTGAAAACATAAGATTGGATGAGCGCATGTCTTTTATGAAGGCCTCCATGACTATTTTGTCATTTGGTTCTTAAATTTGGAGGACTTCCTTGTTAAAACAAGTGACGTAACTCTTTAGGCTTTCATCCCAGTTCTGCTTGATGCTGAGCAGATAGGTGGTAGGCTTTTAGTGTTGACGTCCCCCAGTGAAATTACTTAGTTTAGCGAAAGAGTCAATGGAAGCGGGGGGTAAACTTGGCGAACCACTAACGAACAAATCTCTTAAGGGTGGTAGGAAAAACCCAACACATGATTTTGTCTGGTAAATTGTACAGTTGCATTAGGGATTTGTAGGTGTCAAGGTAGTCTAGTGGATCATTGGAGTCATCAAAAACTTTCACGGTTGACACCTTGAACCTTGGGGGGGAGAGGATAGTTGGTCATATTAGCTACAAAGGGCGTGTTAGTACACCTCACAAGGTACTCGACCGTTTCAGGCCCTTGTGCCTTCATGGCGTTGAAGATGTCGCGCAAGTTGGTTTTGCACTTTTTTGAGTTTTTCGTCCTAGTGATTAGGGGGACGCCTTCCAAATGGTCGTTGTAGTGATTCTTGTGGTTCACATACTGGTGCACGACTCCTTCAAGGTGCCTAAAGTGCTTCTGAATGGTTTTTTTTCCCTCGTCTTCTTGGAAAGGAAGGTCATCAGTGTGGGAGGATGGAGCTGGCATGCGAGGAAGGGAAGCTGGTGCGCCCTGGCGCTGAGGAAGGGCACCCTGGCGCTGCTAAGGGCTCCTTGGAGCCCTAGGCGAGGTGCATGAAGTACTTCCCCTCCTGAATGCTGGGGCACGACTCCTTAAAGGTGCCTAACGAGCATCAACTAGAGGATCTACTGGTTTTGATTCACCAACAACTACTTAGTTTCCAACAACTTTTGTTGTGGTTCAGAGATGGGATTTGCTGATGGGGGGGGGGCATGACCTCCTTTCTGGCGTTGTTGATCATCCTCTGTTTGTTGATTCATTGATCTAGTTGTAATAGTCATAAACACACAAAAATAGTTAGGTAAAAACTAAGTCGTTCCTCCAGACGGTGCCAAACTGATGATACACAAAATATGTTTATGCATCACCTATTAAGTATTTAATGTAGTAATTAAGGATACTCAACACAAACAAACACAAATTAAGTAGTTTGGTCAGAATGACTTGCGCCACTATGAAGGGCTACGATAACTTGAGTGATTTATTGCTCAAAGAATGTAGTCTGTAAAGTGCTTAGATGTGAGTAATGCCCCCATGTGTATGTTGCTTATAATTTATAGGCAAATAAAGTTAGCTCCGAAGGCTCCAATTCAGGTGTCATCCTTATAACTGATTCTGTGAAGCTCACCTTATTCTCGTAATGGACGAGATGATCTTGTGAGACTGACAATGTGCCCTCAATGATTGCATCCCCACGGATTCCTTCTCCTCGGATGAAGGTTCATATCTATGTTGAAGATGGGTTAGGTCTCTTAAGAAGGTGGACTTGGTTCGACTGAAATTGTGATTGAGCCTTTTTTGATCTGCATAGGTCATTTGGGCTTGCTTTGACCCTATCATTTGTGATTTAGGCTTGATTTGGCCCGGACTTGTCAATTACTGTTTTATTATAAATTATATTATATAAATAAAAAATTTTAATAAGTAATTTTACTATATTTAAAAAACTTAGTTCACTACTGTATTCATATTTCATCATTACAATGAAAGCAATAAAGACGTTCATATCCCCTTTTTTCTCTACTATATATAAATTCAATAATTCAATTTGTTAAGGCCTTTCTAAAGATTCCTAAACAAAGAGGATGTGACCACTTTTGTTTTTTTAAAAGAAAGTGAAACTCAAATGCCATCCCCTTTCTCTAATTTCCATTGATCTTTATTTATGACTTGGACTTATTAAAATTTAAATTCAAACCATTTAATTCCGGGTGAATTTGGCATAAGTTTGACAATGTTGTCTAGATCTAGAATTGCCCGTTGACCATCTTTGACAGTAAACCACTTAATTGAAACCACCCAAATGCCATACATCAACGAAATTGCAAACCCACACAATCTAAACAGAATCCAGACCCATTGTCTGCTGTTCCCAAACGCCGATCACCGGATGACATCTCCGGTGACCGGAACTTACCCAAAACATCCTCAAATCACCGACTAACTTGCCATAATACTATGGATCATTCCCCGGAGACCAACGACAAAATAAGTCCTCACTACCTATTGCTGCGTTGCACAGTTGCTCTTCTATTCTCTCTCTTCGCCTTCCTGTTACTATCATTTACGCTGGTGCTGGTCTCTTTTTCCATAGGGGACGTATCGATTTCGAGACCGATTTCTGTTCCCTCGTTGTGCAAGATAGTCTCGAGCAGTAAGTTATCTCTGAATCTTTTTTACCCATTTGATTGATCAAGTTTTGGGTCTGTTTGGTTGCCGAGAAAATGCAAGAATTGAAAAAAACAAGAAACTGAAATCTGGATTGTAGGATTAGGACTCTATAGGCACGGTTTTTGTATTTTGATTTTATTCTTTGCACAAAACCAAGAGACTCTGGAAAATACTAATATTTAACTTGATTGAGGTGTGTTGTTTTATTTATGGGCATTAAAGAACATAAAATGTGAGTCGCCAGTTTTCTCGGATACCAAACAGTCGGTAGTGAGACCTTGTTTGAATTTGACGTGTTCCGAGTTCAGTTGTTATTGTCACTTGTTTATTTTTAGCTGGTTTGTATACTTTTATGTGAATTTTACGCCCATTTGGTTGATGAATTTGGTGAGGGGAAGGAAAGGAAAATTTACAGCAATTCATTCATTTTGTTTGGCTGTGATGGAAAATGAGATAGAGAAAGAACATTGTAAGTGGAAGTGAAAAAAGGTCTTGACTTATTAATAATGGCTGATTTTTCTTTTGTTCTTTTTATTGTCATGATTTGCCATTAAATTGTAGTACTTTGTTATATTATGTCTAGGGGAAGGGAATTTTTCAGAACGGGGATAGGAATTTTCTCTCTTGTTGTGATTAGTCCCTGCATGGTTGATATTTGTTTCTGACTATTTTCCTTCTTGTTTTCTTCTATTAGTGTTTAAAGTATATGGTGGTTCAACGGTATCAGAGCCTAGAGGCCCCAAGTTTAAATTGCACATGGCCTTCTCCAAGTTTAAATCACACCAGGTCTTCTTCCTTACTACAGAAAAAAAAAATCGCGGGATGGATTAACCCAAGAGAGGCCATAAGTGAGGGGGAGTATTAGATAAATACTTATGTTACACCCCTCTCAAAAAGCTTAAACTTTTAGATAAGTTGGTTGTTCAATAGTAATCTTGGAAGATTTAAAAGGAAAAGGTAGAGAGGATAAGGAAAGGACAACCCGATACTGTGATATGTTGATATACAAAGAGCAAATTGAAAAAAATGCAATTTCTGGCAAGTTAACACATTGACGTAACTTCTGGATGCTAATTTCAGTTCTTGATTGGGTAGCATTAACTTTTTTGGTAGTTCCAACCCCTTAGATACTCTATTTGTAGGATCATAATGAAATGCTTCTCACCATGTGACTGATCTTAATTTCTTTGTAGCTGTGGATCTTAGGTCATCCAAGGTCTGTGAACTTGGATTGCTCAATTACAAAGCCAAGCATGTTGTTTACCCTTCTGAAGGAAAGAAGCTTCGATGTTGGTTTGATTACTATTGGGCGTCTATATTCCAGGTCAGGATTGCTAACTATTGATCCATGAGCTCATGTTCCCAGTCTTGATTTTCTTTTACGAATCTCTTTCCATGACTAGGTAGCTTGACGTTTGAGTTATGTGATAGTATCATTTGATTAATTACCATTTGTTTGCTATCTCGTTACAATTGGATGCATTTTAATTTGTTCAAAAGCAAGAATTACTGCTAAAAGTGCAACACGGGTAAGAATTAATAGAAAGCTAATGCATTGCTAAGGTTATAAACATAATATCACCTATAATAAGATAAAAATGAAAATTACAGTTAAGATGCATTCTGAAAGAAGTCGACTAGCAAGAGTTGGCTATAATTTTTCAAAACTCAGGGGGAGGAGTGTATTTTATGTGTCTCCATATTTCTTATTTATGATTAAATGTGGTCAAATATGTTATGGATGTCTAAGATACCTAAGTACTAACATTTTATAGAATTGTATAATTTTTCCTAAATCGCAGGTTGAATATGTAGATAATTCAGGGCAGGCACAAATGGCATTTGCAGAGGCTCCAAATGAGGCCCTGCCCCCTGATTGCAGGCCCAATTTTGGTGTCGCATGGCTGACCAAAGATAAATTTAAGGTGGGTGCGCCACAAAGTTAACCTACTGCACTGACTAGATCATTGAAGTTGAGATTCTGTGTAAAAGTGATTTTCTAACACTTTGATGGTAAACTGTACTGAAGTTGACTCTTTCTATGCTCATGATAATCATCGTGAAATTCTTATTTTCTTCCTTGCTTTCCTTAGGTGAATGAAAGTTATGATTGCTGGTATACATTGGGCCTCTCTAAAGTGAACATATATCATGATAGTTTTTTTGATTGCCAAGCAAAAGATCCTTCCGCGACTGAGATGCTCAAACGACATACCATGTTGTGAGTAGATTAGAGCTGTGAAGTAAATTCTTATTTTTCTATAATTTGTACTTTCTATGGCTGCTAATCCAAAGGAAAATTCTAAGATTACTGAGTTTCTACTCTTTCTAAGGTTTTTAAGTCTTGATAGTTGTTATCCTATAGATTCATCTGAAAATTCCATGTTCTGTCCTTTTACCAACATGGAAGCCAGACAATCTCGCTTTTCATTGTTTATCCTTGGTAGTGAATGTGATTTTATGAATTAAAGCCTAGCAAGTTCCATGTGAGCCATCAGATCACTTTTGGGTTGTGTGTGCATTTCTGCTTTTTCCTGCTTCTGCAGGTATGAAACTTCTGTTATTTGGTTTCTGATGCACTAATTTGGAAGAGCATGATGTACTCTTCTTTTATTTCTGCTGCATACGTCCTTGAGTTACATACGAAATCTTACTTGGTGGGATATTCCAACTTTGTTGACACAATCTTGGTATTAAAATAAATGGCCAAGGTAATTTTGCAAGGCTGTTTATTCATACATTGTTCCATACCCCTAGGATGCATATTCATCGATGTATTTTATACTAAAGGTTTGTAATCAGAAGTGACATAGACATAGTTGTTTGACTGTAGCATGTGCACCTCTTAACTGGTAGGAGGTTACTCTACTGAGGTTGCCATTGCCATATACTCTCTGGCATTTGGTCTTGTTCTTTCAGAATTAGACATCCAATTATAGTTTCGCTAGAGAATATTGTTTTTTTGTTTTTGGATGATTCCTCCTTAATGACTTAGTTGCTATGCATGTGATTACTTTAAATATAAGTTTTATTTTTGGGATAAATAATGGAAACACAAAGTAACGATTTTAGACTGTCTTAAAGAAAAAGATTTGGTTTGTGAAAGTAATATCAAATCTTGATGTCTAGTCTTTAGACCATTGCAATCCCTTCTTGTCCTTCCAAGCAGACAATTCAGAATCATGTGCATCCATCCATATGTTAGATGATTACAGTTGGAGTGCTGACTGCTCTGTTAATCTGGATGCATGTAAGTGTGCTGCCTTTCCTATTAGCAGCTGAAACTATAGTTCATATCTGTGATCTGAGTCCCGGCTACTGAGCAACCCTTTATGTAGGTGACCTATGGTATTATCTATCATGGAAATGTCTGAGGAGCATTTTTTCTTTTTTTCTTTGTGATGGTGTGCGTCCCCATGTTATGCTTGTTCTGTTTGCCTGTCTTACCTATCTTAGGTATTTAGTTACCATTGGTTTTTGTACCGACAGGTCCACAAGGATATTAATGTCCTGGTTTGCTACTGGGTCTAGAGCCAGACATTGGATTTGTGAAGCAATGCTTGGAGTTCTCGCTGGGATTTTAACTCCCTTGATCTTCCTCTGCCTTTTTAAACTCCTGCAGCAAGTGAAGTCTTTGCCTCGAATGAAGGCTGTGAGGATGCTCTTTCACTTAAAGCGAGCTTGTTTCTTTGTAGCGTACTTCTCCTTTGTGGGTTGGTTGGCAATTCAATATGGAAAAAGGCTTGGCCTCTCAGAGATATTTAAAATACACTAATACGTGGTAGCACTCAATTTTGCCAAGGTGCTAGTTCACTCAAGACCCGGATTCTGCAGCTTTAGGGTTTTAGTGTAAAGCAAATATATTTACTGTGGTCTGTAAGTTTTTTTTAAATACATATGTGGTCCATTAAGTTGAGAAAGTTATGTATAGGTACTTCATGACAATGAAGTAATGTAATTTGGTTGTAAAAGAAAAAACTGCTGCTATCTGGTGAATGATGTTCAGAAGCAATTCAAAGATTTGGAGTTTTGAAAGGCTAGTGGTATGATAAATGGTTATCGAAGGTCATTCATATTTGCTGTTGCCTATGGAGCTAGACACCGAAAAGCTCAGAAATTAAGCATATCACACAATGGTAACTAACTGGCTGATTTGTAAGCACAAGTCCTTGTTTGAAGACAATGCTTGCCCTCTTTTGTTTGATGGATCTCCTGTTTCACATATTCATGATCACATTTTTTCGGAACATCTCCAAGGCTACGGAAACTAGAATCAGGTATTGTTTAGGTCAGGCAGATTGATATTGCACTTAATATTGAAGATTGTTACTCAGCAAACAAAACAAAAAAATAAACAATACTGGAGATTGTTGTATTCATAATACATGAAGGGTTGCCTTCAGAGTGTTGTATTTATTAAGCTGAACTGGATCTTTTGGCATTTTGAGGTTGTTGCAAAGCATGACTGCTTAAAACTGCTAAGCAACGATGACCGTGTTTGGTCAGAATGGAATGATGTCTCACATCCTGCTTGTTTTTGGGATAATCCTCTCGATTTCTTCAAGAAGGCGCTCTTTTTCTTCAGTCAACTCCTCATTCTGTTTCTGAAGCTCTTCTATCTGCTTAGTCTGTTCAGAGTCCTTCCTGAAATTCATCAAACAATACTTTGTAAACAATTCACGAACTTTTGGATCATTTGCCAAATATTATATAATCCAAGCTATCATCAAGACAAATACACCGTGCAATATATTGTATACTAATCAGTACCCGAAAAAAAAAAAAAAAAAAAAAAAAAGAGAGAGCGATTCAGGATGGAATCCTGGGAATTTATGGGTCATTTATCATCAGGTATTATCCCTGCAAAGATATAACTGCCTCAGTTGGACCCAAAGTAAGTTAACACAATTTGAATCAATTGTAATGGAAAAACATGCTGTTATGAAGTGTTTTAACTAAGGAGCACACTGGTTCTGTTTGCAGATTACAAATCTTAGCTAAACTTAATACCACACAAAAGCAAGCATCTGATCCTATTACTAAGTAGTATTGCAAAAGAACTGGACAATATCTATGCGGCATGATAATTTTATTAACAAAGGTCTACCAGCTCATTAAAATAGCTGTCACCATACAATTAACACAATATAAGTATGATACATGAAGTAATGTACTTTTTTATTACCTATTCATGAAAGCCAAGTTAAGTTTGAGTGACCTCACTTCCTTCTCAAGATTTTCGCACCTCTTCAGCATGGATTGCATATCTGAAGGAATCGGAGGTGTTAGATTTCTTTCCTTCGCTTCTGCCATTCTGCAAAACCAAGAAAAATTCAGTGCAAGGCAATCTGTTTGCTACAAAATCTATCAGCCTATCAAGATAGCTTTTATTTCATACAACACATACAGTACAGTTATCTGTATTCAGTTACATTAGAGGAAACATAACAAATCTGCAGATTTTTCAACTCCAAGCCTCTTTGCATGTTCAGCTCAAGAGAACAATCACAAGGAATCAAGGTAGATTCCTTGTCGGAGCAAAATAAACTAAGCATATTCCAAACATGAATAGTCATCTATGAAGCACGGATACTTAGTCAAGGTCGATGTACCCGTATCGAATATGATACTCATCAGATACTCGATGATACGTATCGGATATGCATCATACGTATCCGATAATTAATAAAATATGTGGATACTTCGCGGATACTTCTAAATATGGAACAAGATGTACAATTTTCAATTTTATGCTATACCCCCTTATTTGGAGTTCACATATAATATAAAATATCAACAAAATTCCATCTAATTTTGAAAACACAAGTATTTTTTAAATATTATCTATTATTATATGTTAAGAGAGTATAAAAAAAATGAGTCACTTTGATGTAGAACAGGAGGACTAGAAATCACAGAATAGAAAGAGAAGAAGAAAGAAGAGGGGGTGAAAGGGGTTTACTTTATCTTCGCAAGGAATCGGTGAAAAAACACATAAATTCTCCATGGAGAACCACTTTTATTATATCACTCTCAAATTAAAAATAGTTGGGATTACACCATTATTTATAGGTCAAGTCCCCTACTAAAATAAAAACTACTTTCCTACTAAAATACTAACGGTGTGTTTGGATAATCAACATGGATAGGAATTTTTGTATCCTAACCTATCTCACCTAAACCCACTCAGGCACTTAATTGGATGGGTTATGTATGCCATCCAACCCAAGCCATTGTTTGACAAGAACAATTGAATTGGATGGACTTTCCCTTGACTTTTATAGACATTTACCATTGTACCCATTGATATGAAGACCATAAAACACCAAAAAATTGGGGAAGTTTTGCATAGACAGAGAATACCCACCACCACCACAGGAGTAATCCCCACCACGACCACAACAGAAACCCGAAGACCACCACCACCACCACCACAACAGAAACACCGAAGACCACCATCACCACCGCCACAACCGAAACACCGAAGACCACCATCACTGCCACAACAAAAACACCGAAGACCATCACCACCGCCACAACCGAAACACCGAAGACCACCACCACTGTCACAACAGAAACACCGAAGACCATCACCATCGCCACAACAGAAACACCAAAACCACTATAGAAACACCCACTACCATCACCACAAAAATGATTCAAATATGAGAAATAGAGGAGAATTAGGGTCAAAAGCACCCACCATCACATTTCAGATCTGAGAGAGAGAAATTAGGGTTCAAAATCATCCACCATCGTGGTGGTGCAGGTGACTGTGAATGATCGAGGTTAGGGGTGGTGCAGGTGAAGTTCTCTTCTTCGTTCAGTCCACTCAGGCACCCAAATCCATCCCAACAGAACCGCTGGGCTTCGGCTTTGTCTCCTTTACAGAGAGAGAGAGAGAGAGAAAGACACGAGATATAGGATTCGTTGCCTTTACAAAGCAAGACAGAGAGCCCTCAGGAGAGGTGGGTAAATATGTCATTACCCCTTCATAACCCATCGGTTGGGATTCAAACCCATAGGGGAGGTGGGTTAATTTTTAACCCATATAGCGGGGTTAAAAATTACTGTAGCACCCAGGTCAAGGATAGACCCAGGATTTATATCCTGGCTATTTTTTGCTTCCCAAACAAAGGTTTTGTGGGACCCATTACCGTATTACCCTATCCTTATGGAGGTTAACCCACCTTAACCCATTACCCAAACACACCCTAAAAGAGTTTCATAATCAAACTCTCAAATCCCTATCCTACTAAAACTCTATAATAATTTCCTAGTTAAACTCTAATTAAAACTCCTAGTCAAACAAATACTCATAAATCAAATAATAATAAAAAACTATCAATTACACTTCCCTTTGGACCAAAAATTTATAGTCTTTCGCTTAGGCTTCCAAAGTCGATTGCATTGGTCCAACCAACAAATGGCTGCGCTACTGCGCCATCATTTCTCCTCCGCTGAAAAGAATTCGACTCCGGTGAGTAAAGAGAAGGGCCAAGAATACCATCTGATGGAGAAACTCTCTAAATCAACAACGAACTCTTTTTCAATTGTAGTGTACGCACATCTGTAGCACAAGTAAGAGTATACTTCTTTCTTCCAATTATAAAAGAATAGGTATTAGCACGCCTCACATGTTGTGCATCACGATCCCATATCCAAGTGCACCCTAAAAGCATATGACAAAGCTTGAGAGACAATACATCACACATGCTGGTCTCTTTAAGGCTTCCAATGGTGAATGTAACTGGACATCTCTTATCAACTTTCAGCTTCGTATTAGTAATTCATGCTACATGATATGGTTCTGGATGTGGTTCAACTTTCAAATTTAGCTTCTTCATGACCTCTTCTGATACCACATTTGTGTAACTTCCCGTGTCAATCACTAACGAACATATCTGTCATTTACAACAAACTCTTGTCTGAAAGATTTTTCCTAAATGAATAAACTCACCATTAGCAACTTTTTTATTAGCAATAAGTAGAGGACGGAAAACACCCATAAAATGATCATCACCCAAATCATCAAAATTAACCTCAGTCACATCAAGAGGTTCTACAATCTCTGTTTCAAATTCTGGCTCATTAGAATCATTATGCACCTTAGAATCTTCCTTTTCAACCACAACAACAGATTTTGAGGGGCATTGAAAAGAGAGATGGTCAAAACCAAGACAATTAAAACATCTTGTCTTAGAATTAGTACTCCCTTGAGAAGAAGAATTAGCACTAGCCCGAGATGATTTGTTGGGAATAAAAGTATTCTCTTGGGGTTTATTAGTGGACTTACCTTGATTTGCATCTACAACAGTTCTCTTGATCCGGGTTGGAGGTGCCATAGAAGATCTCATATAAGATCTTTTTTTCAACTCATCTTCCATCTGATAAGCAACCTGAACTGCATCTACCATGGTGTAAAGTCTACTTGTAGCTAAACCCGTAGAAATTTGTGAATTGAGACCTTGCTTGTACATGACAATCATTACATCCTCAATCCATTGAAACTCTGATCAGGTGGCTAAGCTGTAGAACCTTCCTGTGTACGCCTCCACAGACATACTTCCTTGATTCAATTGTATAAACTGTAGATGAGTTCGTTGCTTATAATTAATAGGCACAAAGTATCGGGTCATAGCAGTCTTCATATCATCCCATGATCTATCAAAGTGAGTTTGTTGATACTTTACCCACCAAAGTCTTGCTATACACTTCAATTTTGATTCTGTAAAGAATACCTTCCTCTCATCGGTCAAACGATACCATCTGAAGAAGCTTTCAATGCTATGCAACCAATTAAGGAATATCTCGGGACTATTGTCCCCGTGAAAATCTCAAACTTCTAATTTAACCCCTTTATCAAAATCAAACAATCTTGGGTCTTCTCAAATTGGGCCTTGTGGTGGAGGGACTTGCGCGAGCATTGGTCGTTAATTGATAGCCGATGAGGAGGAATTATGATTTGCATGCATCTCCACTCCTTTACACTTTTTATCTAAGAGATAAGCTTCTATTATCTCCTTTAGTGATGTTATAGACGCCTCTAGTGAATCCATCCTCTCATTCATGGCTTTTTGTGAATCAATTTGTGCTTGGGATAAAGTCTCCACTTTAGCATTTAATTTGGCGTTGAAAACCATCATAATCAAGAGGAAATTCTAAAACTTTTTGGGGATAATTCTGTAATTTTATGAATATGTTGGGGGCTATTTTTGCATTTTAGAACCACTAAGGGGAAGATTCTGCAATTTCTGGTGGTGGTTCTACAATTTCTGAAATTCTTTGGGATATTTCTATAATTTTTGAAACAGTTGAGATATTGTTGCAATTTTCTGAATCTGTTGGGAAAGTTTTTTTTTTTTTTGACAGCGCCAATGAACAGTACTGATAACAGTATTGGTGAACAGTGCCGCGATGAACAATTTTTTTTTAAGTACGAATCGAAGTTGGGCTGTGATACCAAACTGATGTAGAACGGGAAGGATTAGAAATCACAGAATAGAAAGAGAAGAAGAAAAAAGAGGGAGTGGAAGGGGTTTACCTCATCCTCGTAAGGAATCGGTGGAGAAACACATAAATTCTCCTCGGAGAACCACTTTTATTATATCACTCTCTAATTAAAAATAGTTGGGATTACACCATTATATATAGGTCAAGTCCCTACTAAAATAAAAACTACTTTCCTACTAAAATACTAAAAGAGTTTCATAATCAAACTCTCAAATCCCTATCCTACTGAAACTCTATAATAATTTCCTAGTTAAATTCTAATTAAAACTCCCAGTCAAAAAAATACTCATAAATCAAATAATAATAATAAACTACCAATTACACTCCCCTTTGGACCAAAAATTCATAGTCTTTCGCTTAGGCTTCCAAAGTCGATTGCAGTGGTCCAACCAACCAATGGCTGTGCCATCACACTTACACTAGAATCTTAAAAATAAATTCTTGTAAACACACCAACTAGTTAAATGTGGTTATAATTCCTTCAATTGGTTATGCTCATTTTATAAACATATCATAATGAGACGATATTACATCCTTTTTTAAGGTAAAAATTTCTAATTTTGCTTACTAATGTTTAGAATTATTGAAAATTGTAATTTCTAAGTCAATAAATAATAGTAAAATATAAAATATATTTTATTATAGATGTATCATGCCCGTACCCGTATCCTATTTTTTTAAGTTTTGTCGTATCGCCTTATCCGTATCGTAGCCATGTCACGTACCGTATATGTGCTTCCTAGATAGCCATAGTAAACTAGCGCCACATAGATACTTTGCTGTCAGGTTGGATCAAATTCTATAAAGCCATCCTCAAACAAAATATTTAAGGAAAAAACCTGCTTATAAAACAAGGAAAATCCAGAATGTCAACGTACAACAAGCTACAAATTTGACTCCCTACTACCATGCTTCACAAGTCAATGGATTATGTAATCTCAAAAATAGAAATTTGTAGCTAATAAGGCAACTCTTCTTCAAGTTACGAGGATAGTGTTACGTACTTCCGTGACCGCTCCACCCTACGCTTCTTTGTGGGATCTCCTTTCTCCTCTGCAGAACTTAGACCGGTTAGTGAAAACGGCCCGAACCACAAAATTCTACAGTATTATATATACATAAAATTCAGCATACTGCTTGTGTCCAAACTAAGCAATTAAAGATGGAAAGTTCATGTAACAATTGAATACAAATGAACACAGAAGAACGAGAGTATATGGATATAGATTTTGCAAGACAATGGAATTAAGTATGTCCAACACTTTTCTTAAATCTTTTTCCCAAAGAAGCACATAAGAAAATTCATGTTCCACCATTCGCTCTGGCAGAACCATAATACGAGTTAAAGATCTCATAGATAGCAAACATAAAATAAGTTTCTGTCCTCGGTATTGTAGTTGGTTTGACTTCATATTTCATTGTATTGACTCTGTTCTTTTTAACTATAAAGTGTAGAAAAAAGGATTCTGGTTTCATTTTAATGTAACGATATTGTTGATATTTGTTTTTGGGTCTAGGAAGGAGAAATGCAGGAATAAAGTTCATGGCAACAAAGAAATCAATGCCCAGCCAATCACACTGCACAATTTTAACTATAGTATGAAGGGCTAACAAGAGGGTGGCCGCAGGGTGAAGGGAGGGATGATTCTCTTGAAATCTTGATAAGAAGACACCAATGTATTGGTTCATTTAAATGTACATATATGTAAGTCAATGGCTTTGATTTTCTAGTCTGGCACCCTAATATCCTCTATCCCACTTTTATGTGCTTTATTTAAACTGTTACATTTTGTACCCTTAAACTTTTAACTCAATAAGCTGGAATAGCTTCATGTTTACTTTGCCAAAATCCAATAGGGTGGTTGTGGATGACAGTGCATGAAGCTTTTTGTTTGCTATACTTGCAACAAAGAACAAACAAAAAGTTTCCATCAGAATGAAGAGAAAATTAAGTTTAGTAGTAAATAAGAAGTTTCTGTAGTAACCTTATAATCAAACTACTGTAAATATAGATAGGAAAGGCAAGTGTTTATTTGTGAGTTTTCAAACCTGTTTTATTACCTGAAATTGCTGAAGTCACAGATCCATTGCGGACTAAACTTCCTTTCTGCTGAAGATGAATAAACAAACAAGGAAAAAAATCAGGAAAAGTACTTCAAGGTTACAAACACTTCTTTTGGACCACCTACTGTCATTATAAATGGGTTGCAATTGGTGGAGGGCATACCTTTCGATCTTCTTTTGGGTTATCGTGTATTCGTTCTCTAACGTCTGTAAGTCAAGAAGAATATACAACATTAGCAAAACGTGTTTCTGGAAAACACAGGTTATGGGACATTTGAAAATCACACCATTTTGGTACAGTCCGTTGTTGGGCATTTCAAAATGCCTGGGTATACCATGCTCTGCAATAAAAGCCCCATCCTCTGGTAATGGCTGGCATTCTAGTCTCTAGAGGATATTTTCCAATGCAAAGGAAAACCAAATAGACGGATTCAAGTTCCATGGCCTATTAACATTACCTATTATCGTGTTTTCAATAAAATCAGTGAACAACAGTAGAGAGAAATGAATGGACAAACGTGCCTATTAGATCCGGGTGCTGGCAAATCTAGTCTAATAATCTGAGACACATATTTGAGTAGCGTGACACATGGAACAATAGAAAAAATTCCCATGAATTGAATGCTGAGAATATTGGTGAGCTATTGCAATAGTATCTATAGCTTTGAAAGTACAAAAACTACCATTTCTTATTTCTATGTTAACGGAATTTAACTGCTGAAACCAGCTTATGCATGTTATATGTACCTTTGGCTCTAGATCCATTTTCAAAATCCCATCCAGCTTGATTCTTAGAGCTTTCACAAATGCCTAGAGTTTGACCAGAGTTGCTGGGACCATTGCATGCATCAAAACCAGTTGAGACTACAGGAGCAGCTGCAGAAGATTCACTTTGTGACGTTTCTCGAGATACTGCTGTAAGTTGGATTGGTTAGGAGGAGCCACAAAACCTTCTAGGTAAAAATCCAGCGATCCTCCAACTGTTTGTGAAACACCAGAATCTTTAAGTTGGAAAGTGCAAACATCTTGAAAGATTCCTTGCGCCTCATGAATATAATTGCCTTGTTCTTCATTCAAACTATTGTTACCCAAGACTTCCTGAGCACCATAATATCCTAAAGAACTGTCTTCAATAGCTTCTTTCTCAATTTGGTTACTGAACTTCTTGCGTTCTAGTGTACCCTTAAGCATGCTGACAACAGAAGAAACCTTGTCTATAGTTCCTATTTGCGGGGTATTGAGAGTAGACGATGATGAATTGGTCGGAGACATGAATGTATTGAACTGGTTGGGATTCTCACGTATTGAAGTGTTATCTAATCCACTTGGATCTGCAAATTCTTGTTTCAAATGGTTGACACCATGCCCAGATATGTTTTGCTCCGTTTCCATTCCCAGTGAGGAGTGGCAGTTCTGCATTGCAACATATTTCCTCCTGCAAAAAGTGAATATCCAATGAATCCAAATAAATTCCAGTAATTTCTTTGTTCAAGTGAATTCACTCCAAAGTAATTTATAAGGAAAATAATATCACATTCATGCTTACATCCTGACTTTCTCATTTAGAAGTGACTCTATTCATCCATTATTCCCAAAAAAAAGAGAAGGAAAAAAGGTGGGGAAAAGAAAAGGAAAGAGAAAACACACACCCTTCAGACTCTCGTGGTTGTATCATGAGGTTCAACATATGATAATGTGCAGTAAAGTGATGAAAAGCAACTGAAACTCCCATAAATATAAGTCTCATAAGATATTATGATACCTTAATTCAGAGGAACGGTTTCTAGTCATGGGTTGAGAACTATGGAACCATGCCTGCGGCAAGGTGAGAAATGATGTCATCTTAATAACTCTTAGCAAAAAGATGTTTTGAAATGGCCTTAACTGACTCTCAATAGAGACAAACCTTAGCCAGGTATAAATTAATACCCTGCAGACCCCGTTCCACCGGATTCCTGGTAGAAATAAAATTCAAAGGCAATTAATTATTCACTGTACAATTACAGTATTGGCAATACAACTAAGACCTTATTTGAGATAACTACATTTCATGAGACATCGGAGGTGGCAATAACTAGAGCCAATAATCATAGAAAACCAGTTAAAATGGTTTGACCAAGTGCAGCAAAGATTAGTAAAAGTGACTGGTTCAGGTTGAAATTGCTTCAAGGACAAATTATCAACAAAATAGGAGGTGGTTTGAGGTGGTAATAAAAGACTAAATGCCCTCAACTTTGCTGACATGTGTGGTCCAAGAAAACCAGGAATGTGGAACCTTTGTATGTTGAAGTTTCATCATTTAGGTACTTTGAAATTACCTGAATGAATGTTGACTGAGGTCGGTTGATGGTTCATCAGCCCCAGAACTGTTTTGTGAGAATATAGCTTCATTGCTTCTCTTTCTCTGAAGTGAACCCCCCTGTTGTTGATTAGACAAACTAGCTACTTCACTGAACATCCTGCATTTAGCATAAAAATTGAATACACATAAAAATAGAGAGTAAAAGCAATATATTTTTCAGTACTAGATCTTTTAGCAAATTGATGAGGCGGCAGAAGTGAAAAAATAAGCATGCCTAATAACAAAATTAAGAATTACAAGCCACACTTATTGACCAAGGAGTGCAACATATACTTTCTGTAACTTGATGTATGGTAAATACTCCTCACTATGTAACTTAGTGAACTTGTCATTCCACTTCTTCCATATCTCCTTTACTAGGATATGATAAAGAGACGTCATTCTGCATCACATTGTGATGCCAAAGAAAAAAGTCTCCCAGATACAAGTATGCCAACCCTTAAGCAGGCTACTGACTAACCTTCGCGATCGAGTATGATGGGCTATGGTAGCTGGATTGTAGACATTATTCTGGAAAGCAAAAACATGTCAAATGCGAAAAACAACAATCAAGGGGGAAAAGGTAAGAATAACATAAAATAAATTTACAGGAGAAAACTATGATTTATACACGTAAAAAATACTTGGAGACATGAAAAACTCAATTAATGCCAAGATAAGCACTTCGATCTGCAGGAATATTTTGTTTCTAAATACTAACTTAGGGTGCAGGAATATTTACCTCCAATAATATGGTCATCCACACAAAACAGTTTTTCACTCCGACATTCAAAGATTGTTCCAAACATAGTAAAATCATCAATTTTGTGATTACTCTCAACGAACTTCCAGGGAAATTCAAGTATTTCTAAACAAAACTTATAAGATCAATTCAAACAATAAGAAGGTGAAACGGAAATTTATCTATCTTTTCTTTCTTCTTACTCTCTTTACCTCTGAAATAGAAGAAGAGATAAAAAGAAACCAAAATAGGGGAATGACGTTTTTATCAAGTTAAGGCCATGAGTCCGTGACTGCCTTAACAGTTCAGTATATTGGTGGAGCAGCAACTCTCCTATGTTACAGCCTAAATGAAATGTACAGGGATTTATTCAGCATTTGATAGCAACAAAGTTTTTCCCAACATGCACAGGCTAAGGAACAACATTGAAGCATTGTTATGTCCATACTGTGATGAAGTTTCATGAGAGGAAAACAAAAACAGAAGCTCATGCATTTAGTGGATCTTAATAGCAAAATCATAATATTGACACTATCCCATCTGTGATAAAAAAATTCCGACTCGTTTAATTTAAACTTTTGGAAACCTTAAAGCTTTAAATCAAGGATCACAATGCAAAGTCGACATAAGAAGATGTTAGAACTGCTTGCCTCTCCATTTGTGAGCCAGCTTTTGAAGAGTTCCTCACTATCTGTCCGGAAGTTATTCGACAAATTCTTAAACCCCAACATCTCCATAGTTGGAGCTGGCATTCCAATCGAGCCCTCCATCATGGTCTTAATAAACAACTCTTCACTCGTGTTTCTATAGAAGTCTGAGTATGATCTTCCCTCCATCTCCATAAAATTCTTTTCTTCTTCCCTCCTCTTAAACTGTCTCAAAATGTAATGAACTCCAATTCTATTCTTCTGCACGGTCTTATGGAAGAATCATTCACTCATCAGATTGAGCAAATCAAAGTTCACCAACCGATCTACTAATTGAACAAAAAATAAAGGGAATCACCAAATATAAAATCGAATCACTCAAACTATTCTAACCAAATAAAGAGCTTTGAACTCAAAAGCCCCCAACTACAAATCAATTGCTTCTCAGAGGAAAAAAAAAAAACCCTCAAATGAAGTCTTAATTGATCATTACAATCTACAACCAGAGCACAACTGCAATTTTTGTATTTGATGAACAAAACGCGAGTGTTCCTCCATTCAATCAACTAAATATATTTGATGGCAATCGGTCCATTTTCTATTCCTAATCTACATCAACATTACTCTTTGTAAGATATTCAAATGAAGAGCTTAAAACCCCAAAACCCCAACTGTAAATTGATCTCAGAGCAAAAATAACTCAAGTGATTGAATGACAGCCACAAACTCAATGACCCTTGAAACTAATGATAATCCAAATGAAGAGCTTAAAACCCCAAACCCCCAACTGTAAATTGATCTCAGAACAAAAAGAACTCAAGTGATTGAATGATATCCACAAACTCAATGACCCTTGAAACTGATGATTAGCACTTCAGAATATTTATGAGCTTTCTCTGATACAACAACAGAGCATATATAGCGCTCAACTGATGATAATACACAAACAAAAGGGCCAAACACCACTAGACCCAGCAATGTAAAGAGTTTTAATCTATCAAACTTGAAATCCAATGGCAATATGATATAGAAAATTCCATGTACTGAGAGTATACATCAAGATACGCGTATACGTTCTGGTTTGACTAATTCGAGTACGTAATGAAAAGACACATTGATTAAACAAATAAAATGACATGGAATCAACCAATCTCGGTGATTTCCAAGATTCCAAAACTGTTCATTTGTCCTTTTCTCTTCTTGCAGCGAAATAGTATTTACACTGCAGGTAATTTGAACTCTTTACTGTGAAAATCAATGAAAATTAAGCATATAAACAGGAAAAACACAAATCAAAGATCATTGTATATATGGTTATGTATCTATAGGTCACAGGGAAGATAATGGGTTGCGAGAATTGGAATGTTTAGAAGAAGAAATAAAGTAGTTGGGGTTCTGCTGGAGGAGGTGAGACTTGAGAGCGGGGGTGATGGATGGCCCATGAAAACGAACTCTGCAACTGCCATTGATCTTTTATGATTTTAAATAAACTTGCCGTTTGCTTGTAATTATTTTTAATATAAAAAAAAAGTCGAGAGGAAGAAGAGTGTCTAAGCACAACCCAATTAGGTTTTTATCGGTGGGATCATAAGACTTCTAGCCGCGCATGGAACACTTCTTGAGATCAGATCTAATTAGAATAATATAGCGGTCAATTATCGAATCTTAATGGAGACTTCAACACTCAAACTCTTAAGGTCTGTTTGGTATGTTTTTTGAGAGGAATTTGAATTGACTTGTTCAAATTCAAGTTTGACCAAAAATGACATTCAAATAAGGGATTCAATATTCAATGGTGTCTATATTCATTTTTGGTATGCGCGAGGATATATGACCATTATGATAATATATTTATATTTAAATAACTATTGTGCCTCTTAATTAATTTAATCTAAATATGAATATTAATATATAAAAGTTATAAATGTTATTTAAATGTGAAACTTCAAACCCACGTATGAAAACCACCACCCACCCCATAAGTTTCATGAAACCCATGAATAAGGGTATTATGGTCGAGTAGGATTTCAAACTCTAAACTAAATTTATAATTAACAAACATGACTTTAGTCCCCAACCCCATATTTTTAAATTTTTTTATAAATCACTTATCATATATTTAAGTAAAATTTGTTTTAAATTTTTTTATTAATATATTTTTTTTATCAATTTTTTTGAATTGAATTTAGGACTGATAAAAATATTCCAAACCAATCTACTCATTTCGACAAGTTAGAGTAACTCAAAAATTAATTATCGATTTATGATAATTTTGAAATAAAATTATTAAATTACGATACATTTAAATTTAGAAATAATTATATTGGAGGTCCCAAAGTATAAAATTTATTTTATTTTAGTTCTTAATATTTTAATTACATTATTTTATTTCTTGAAATATTAAATATATTTTTATGTGGTTATTGAAGTAGACAATATCCAAATTATTAACTATTTTTAATTATAAACTTGTCATGTAATAGCTAAAAGACAACAAATAATTTAGGTAACTCTTGACTAAAATTTGGGTAGCACTTGACAAAAAATGTGTAATATGGATATCTCTTGATCAAAATTTGGATAGTTCATAATCAAAATTGTGTAATTTGAGTAGCTTTTTTACTAAAATTTAGATAAAAATTTGGTCAAAAGTTATCCAAACTATTTTTTTTGGGCCATATTTAAGTATTACTTGACAAATTTATAATAAAAAATCTTTAACAATATGAACGTTGTCTGTTAATTGACCACATAGAAATATATTCAATGTGGTCAATTAGCAAAAATGATGTAATTGAATTATTAAATACTAAAATGCAAAAAATCTTATAGTTGAGGAACCTCCTATGCAAATAGTCCTTAAACTCATTTAATAAACTACAATACTTTTTAAAAAGAGGGTTCTAAACTCTGTTTTTATTAAAAATGTAAGGTCAACAACCTCAATTTTAAAAGAATATTCATTAATACACTTTTTTTGCATTTGAATGTTTGGCCAAAGATTAAAAATGGAATTTTTCCCCTCACTTTTTAATAAAAATGGGGTTAATGAATTCAATTTTGTTAAAAAAAAATTTGAATCCACAACCTCGCATTTTTAAAAAGTATCGGGTTTTAGTAAGTAAATTCAAAAGAAACGTAATTTAGTAATTTTATTTTAAAATTATCTTAATTTGATAATTAATTCGTAAATCGAGTTAGGACGAGGAGTGAGTTAACTAACAAAGTTGTCGTGCTCATCATGCATCGAGAGAGGTATTCTAGATGATTTCAACACACTTCATATATAATTACTCAATTAACAAAGGCGGCGATAAAGACTAGAGAGAGGGAGAGATCTCATAAACTCCGCTATTGATATTCTTGATGTTTACTACAAGGAAAATTGTAAAAAATTTAAATAAAATTTAAAAGGCGTAATTGAAAAGTATATTATCATTCAGACGTGTGAGTCTCGTTGAAAAAATTAATGAGATTCATTTATCCCTAAGATGATAGACATTTGAGATACAAGTTTTTAAATTTCATTAAAATTTTATAACATTACTCTTCTTACACTACCTTCTAGATAATCGGTAGTTAAACTCTATATAACAAAGGTTAATAATTCTCTACAATGGAGGAAATTCATACCAATCTTCCTTCAACATTTAATTTTCCTCAAGCATTAAAAGTCACAAGCAACTAATTTGAATGTCAAAATGTTTTCAAGGATATTTTCACTCCTTACTCAAATTTAAATTCAAGAGTATTATTATTGGGACCTAAAAATCTGACATAATTTACTGATATAATGATGTGACTTCACTATGACCTTTGGATTGATTGCAGACTCCATCAAACATTAGAATTTGGTATTAATCCAATGGTTCCAATGAAATCACATCGTTATGTTAGCAAATTATGTCAGATTTTTAAGTTTCAATAGCATTACTCTAAATTCAAATTTAAATTTAAATAAAAATGACTCAAAAATTCTCTATTCTTTGACTCAAATTTATAGTAAATCAAGAGAAATCTTTGAGAAAATATTAAACTTTAACTCAAATTTTTTGAACCAAAATTGAACCCTTCTCTCTATTCTCTTTCTATCGTTGATTTGCTGGAAGGATTCCCCGCCAAAACTTCCTCCTCCATCTCTCATGGCACTCCTCTGCCACTTCTCCCTTCAGAGGTTCCGACACCGCTGACCACTCCTCCCTTCACAACCATATAGGGTTTGATGGACCCAATTCGAATACATTGAAGAAGATGATGGGTATGAGTTTTACCCAAAATCGATAAAACTTGAAGAGGAGATGATTAAAGAAAATGATTACATTTTGGAGAGAAAATGATTAAAACTTAGAAGGATGACCTTGAAGAAGAAGATGGATGACAAGACTTCAGCGAGCGACTGGCGTCTTTGAAATTTTGAAATCAATAAAACTTGAAGAGGGAAAAAAACTTAAAAAAAATAGCTTTTAAGATAATATAGGAATTTTTTTAAAAAGATCATAGAATGAAATTGAGTTTTTCAATTGGATGAGTTAATTTCAAATCAAACTTTTGACTCATCTTGACTTTATAAACTGAGGATGTAACAAGGAACATTTGTGATGAGTTTTTTATGCAAAAATTGATTCTGGGGGCCACCGTGTGTGGTATGTGGAGGTGTCAACTCATTTAAGATGAGTTTTTAGGGATATAATTTGAGAAATATAGTATTACTGTTAATTTTATACTAATTTTAGTCCATACCATGTCATATACTTTCCAAAATAAAAAAAATATTGCAAATTTAAAAAGGGAGCTAGTTAAGAAGATGTTGTCAACAAGTAGATTGATGATCCATCAAGATCATTTTGACCTAATCTACCACTAAAACCCAAGTTTTGAATAATCATAAAAAAACCTAAATTGGTGTGTGTGTGTGTGTGTTTTTTTTTTTCTCTACAGGGTGTTCAGATTTGTACCGATTGTTTTCTCGAATTTGGATATTAGTCACCGTAACTCAAACAAATTTAAAACATGATCCATGAGAAAGAAGGGTGATAGATTCTTAGGGAGTATGAAAAATATTGACAACCTACCAACACTTCAAGACCAAAAATACTTAACATATCCCTGAATAAAGTTTCTAACCATTTTCAATGATGTGTTGCCCATTGTATATACATAAGAGAGATACATATAACATGAATTTTACA